ATGATGACGGTTTCCCGATAATTATGATGATGTTGCTGATGATGATTATGTTGTTGATGGTGATGGTGTCCCGATGATGATGATGATGACGATGTTGGTTGCTGGTGATGAGATGATGATGATGGTGGTGTTCACATGGCGATGATACTGGTGTCCCGATGACGATGATGTTGACGATGATGGTGGTGACGATGATGGTGCCCCGACGATGATGGTGATGATGATGATGACGATCATGACGGTGATGAGGTGGTGATGATGGTGTCCCGATGGTGATGATCATGTTGATGACGCTGATGACGAATCTGTTTTCGATGATGATTATGATGACGTTAATGGTGAGATTGATTGAGATATCGATAGTGAGACCGACCGCGTGGCCGAATGTGAGATTGACTGTGCGATCGATGATGGGATCGGTTGTGAGATCGATAGTGAGATCGATTGTGAGATCGATCGAATGAAATAAATCGAGTGACATCGATTGTGAGATCGATCGAATTTGATCGATCGAGCGAAACCGATCGTGAGATCGATAGTGAGATCCATAGTAAGACCGATCGAGTGAGACGTGGGTTCCCCCCCCCCGAACCTCCTTATCGCCCGAAGGGTGGTCGTATAGGTATCGACGGTCTTCCGCGGCGCGGGGGGGCGCCGCGTCCCTGGGTGGCGCCTGGGGTCTTGGGGTTCCATGGAGATGGAAGCGAAGTCTCTTCTTTGGGTTCGCGCAAACTGCGCTTTTGACTTGTCTGGAGAGGTTTGTTCTCACGAAAACCGATTACGATATGTTTTACAGTTGCCTTGCTCGACTTGGGCGGGTTGTTCTGGGAGGTGCGGCTAACTTCGACGGGCCCCGCGTGGGGGCCCTCAGTAACCAGCAGGTTCTCACTCGCCTCAGGATAGTCCCGTCGGAGACTGAGATGCTCATCCGCCGTCTTAAGTGGTGCCAGAGCTGGAGTCGTTCCCCGTCGGATCACGGCCAGGAGTTGTGCGCCCTCTTCGGCGCGGCCGAGATCGATCGCTTCCGGCCCCAACTCGTTGCGGGTCGACCGATGCAGTGGGCCATTCCTAGGACTCGACAGGCGGCGTCGGATCTGGACAGAGCTAGCTGGCGACTCCCGCATGAGGGCGTTCGTCGCATGGCTGAGAATCTCTGTCTGCTGGTGGACCAGGAGGCGGCGGATGAGTCCGCTCGCGCTGACGCAGCCGAGCTTCGCGCGGCGGCCCTCTCGGCGCAGATGCCCCCACCCGAGCTTCATCCGCCCAGGGGGGTCCCACATGTTATTGAAGACCGGGTTTTTTCTGCGTCTCAGCCCGTTGAGCTCCCATTTGTGCGTGGTGTTGCGAGGGGGGAGCTCCGCGTAGTTGCGCCCATGCTACTCGTGACAGGCTACTCGAGCATATTCGACATCATCACTACCTTCGGAATCTCATGCATCTATTTACTCCTACTAACATCTGCATTCGCTGCCATCAGATTTTCTCTACGCAGGTGACGGCCTCACAGCATCTGGCGAGTTCCTTGATTCGGGGGCATTGTGTGACGTGTGGTCCTCTTTCGTTAGCTATGCTACAGACGCCGTCGTCGTGTGACTGTCCCACTTGCGACTACGAGGGGTCCCGTGCGATCGCTCTCTGTCGCCACTTGGTTGAACGCCTTCCTGCCCCTCTTCAGCCCCATGTATAGGCGACGCCTGCCCCGCGTGATCGGGATGGAAGTGGAATCGATCGCAGCTGCTCCGTCCTAGTTCAAGGGGTCGCAGAGGGAGGCGGCGGCGGCGTCGGCCGCCGAGGGAGATCGCAGGGACAAGAAGTTCAAGACTGGCAAGGACGAGGGTGGCAAGGGCGGCGGCGGCGGCAAGATGATGAACGCCCTCGCCCGTCTCGTGCTCGCGAACTCGCGGGAGATCTCGGAGTTGAGCTCGCCCGTCGACCTTCGCTTCGAGGTCGAGGCAGGGCAAGGGCTCGCGGCCGCGGCCGCGGCCGCGGGCCAGGCGCGCAACGAGGGGCCCAAGGCGATGCGCACGAAGAAGGAGCGCGGCCAGAACGTAGACCACCGCAAGCGAGGGCCACCGCATCTCTCGGTCCTGATCTCGGCGACCCGCTACGGAGCGACGAAGACCACCCCGGAGTGTCAGGAGTCGAAGATGCAGGGGCTGACTGTTGCGAGGCAGAAGATGCTCGGCCTGTGGTAGAACAGTTTGCGCGACATCACGCTGTCGCCTACTTCCGAGTGCGCGCCCAGAACAGAAGGAGGGAGAGAGCCAGAAGGCGACCGTGATCCCTCGCTACGATGCGACGGTGCCGCTCAGGTCGATCCTCGGCCCGCTGTTGGAGCAGCTGATCGCGTCGGAGGGCGGGGTCCCCCTCCTGGGGACTGCGCCGCGGGGCCCGCTGGAGTGGGACTTGTTGAGGCTTGTAGACCAGTCATGAGTAGCAGCAGCAGCAGCAGTGAGCAGCGTCGTCAGCAGCAGTTTCAGTCAAGTGAAAGGCTGGCATCCTTAATTCGGCAAGGTATCCTCCCGGCGAGTATGCTCGAGGAGCCGAGCGAGAGGCAGGCTTCTTGGCAAGCGCGCTCGTTGATGCCCGCAGCTCCTGTGCATTAGCTTCAACGTAGCCACGGCAGAGGCCGAGGCAACGGAAGGGGGGGAGGTCTGGTCGTCGCGGGAGCGGGCGTAGTCGCGGGGAGGCGGGATGAGTCGTCGGGTTTTTTCGTCTCGAGCCCTGCGCGGGGCTGCGTGCCTCCAAGGGTCCCGAGCGGCCAGTGCTGTCTTGTGCAGTGTGCGACAGACGCTGTACAGTTAAATCTGGAGCTTTGCATCCAGCAGCCTCTAATTTTTTCCGTTGCAGCGCAGAGACAGCAGAGACTCCATGAGCTGGTTGTGGTCTTGGTCTCCTCCTCTTCCTCCTCCTCCTTCCTCCTCCGCCTCCTCTCCCTCTTTTTCCTCAGTCTCCTCCCCCTCTTCGGAAGACGGCGAAGGGGGAGATCCTTGCGGGTGTTCCTACTCTGCCGCGCCCCGCCCCCACGTGGTCTAGGCCTCGGGCCCGCTTTGGGGGGGGGAGGGGAGGGGGATCCCGGTTCACATCATAACACATATCGGTGGTGCGGGCGGGTGGGGGAAGTGAGAAAGGGAAGGTTTTCTCAGAAGGCGGCGGATCTTCTCAGAAACCCTCGCGCCCTTTGAGAAGCTGTTTGCGTCTTCGGGGAAGGCCTAGACAACCAGTCAGAAGACCCGAAACCCAACGAGCCTCCTGAGAAAGTCCGCCCCTTCTCGCTTCCCCCCCGGGCTCGCCGCCGAACACCAGTTTCGAACGTGTTCGCGAGGGTTTCGGTGTGGGCGCCGTCCGTGCGTTTCGGCCTACGCGCGCGCGAGTTTGCTGTCTTTGTTTGCTTGTCGTTTCTTCGTCGTTGCCCTCGTCCTCCTCCTCCTCCTCGCCCTCCTCCTGCTTATCCCCATCCTCCTCCTCCTCCTCAGCTTCCCTGTGTTCGACAGATACTGTATGCATTGGCCGCTCTGGGTTAATACGCTCTGGCGACCGCTTACATTACCACCATGGTTGTCCATAGGCGGTGTGATTTGTTTTTTGCTTTCCGAGTAGTATTGCGTACATCTCCCAGTGTCTGTGTAGTTGCTTCGGTTGTGAATTGAAGCCGACCGCGTTTCTGCCCCTTGTGTCATGTCAGCCGTGCGCTTATTCGGAAGCGAATCTAGGGTTCTAGTCTTAATTCGGGCATGTCCCTCTACAGATGGTATATTCAAACATAGCCAAAACATAGTCTGGGGACGATGTTTGGCTCTGTTCGAACATTACTTGAGCATCTTTGGATTTGTGTGTTGCCTGTCGCCCCAAATCCGTCTGTAGGAGGACATGCCCGACTTCTTTCCAGTCCCTCCCTCGTGGCCGTTTTGCTTCTTGTTACTTTGGCGTGGGCCAGGGTTCTTCTGAGCAACCGCTGGTGCACTGCAGCCGCTCTGGGCAGCCACGTTGCCCGCTCTCCCTCCTCGTCTCCCCTTTCCCCTCCCTTTCTCTTCGTCCTGGTCCTCGTCCTCGCTCCCTTCCTCCTCGTCCTCGTCCCTCTCCTCGTCCCTCGTCCTCGACCCTCCTCTCGTCCCTCTCCTCGTCCCTCTCCTCGTCCCTCTCCTCGTCCTCGTCCCTCGTCCTCGTCCCTCTCCTCGTCCCTCTCCTCGTCCCTCGTCCTCGTCCCTCTCCTCGTCCCTCTCCTCGTCCCTCTCCTCGTCCCTCTCCTCGTCCCTCTCCTCGTCCCTCTCCTCGTCCCTCTCCTCGTCCCTCTCCTCGTCCCTCTCCTCGTCCCTCTCCTCGTCCCTCTCCTCGTCCCTCTCCTCGTCCCTCTCCTCGTCCCTCTCCTCGTCCCTCTCCTCGACCTCGTCCGCATCTCCCCTAACTCCTCCCTCCTTTCTCCCCCCTTTCTCCCTCGCCTCGTCCTTCGTCCTCTTGTCTCGTGCCGCAAGTGCATTGTAGATGTGTTGTGCGGGCCACGCTGTATCGTATGAGTTTGCCTGCTGCTGGCCGGCTTGTGCGTTGCTCCCAGTTTACCTGGCGGCCTTCTGATTCTCGATGTCACCAGTTCTGTTACGCGTGGAACAACAGTGAAGAAAGAAAGCGGAGGAGGAATTCGACGGAAAGCCCCCGCCGTCGCCGTCTTTGTCCTCCTACGCTTCTGTTTATGTTTCTTGTTGTTCCTTGTTCTTCCCTCGACGATTACGACGACGGACGACCGACGACCGACGACGGACGACGGACGACGGACGACGACGACGACGACTACGACGACGACGCCGACGACGAATACGACGACGACGCCGACGGCGATCGACGACGACGGCGACGACGACGACGAGTGCGACTACGACGACGACGAGTGCGACGACGACGACGACGACGAGTGCGACGACGACGGCGGCGACGCCGACGCCGACGACTGCGGCGACGGCGAGTGCGACGACGAGGGGGCGCCGCCCGGCGCCGCGCCCGCGGAGGTCGCGCAGAAGGCCCTGCTCTCGCTGCTGGAGCGGCACGGCGCCCCGGCCGACCTCGTCGACACGCTGCTCGGGGAGGCGCCTTGCCGCCCGAGCCCCCCCCCCTCGGACGGGGGCGGGAGGCCCCTGCACTGGAGACCCACGCCAAGAGACCTATTTGTACCCTCCAGAGGGGGCCCCAGCGGCGAGAACGGGTGACGAGCAGGCGCGGGGAAGCCGGAAGCGGCGAGGAGGCGGGGGGAGGAGGAGGAACGAGGAGGACAAGAGCGGGCCCGGCGAGCACGCGGGACAGCGGCTGCCCATGCCAAGAAACACCATGGTTTCTTGGGTGTCGATGGTTCTTGTTATGGAAAGGGTGACATTCCCACACCAAAATTGAATGGACATCCTGGGGTCTCGGGACTGGGTTTCTTGTGGAAGGTTTCTTGCGGTCGGGCCCCTAGTCTAGCCACAACGGAGGCGGTGGAGGCTGAAGCCCGTCCCCCAAGAAATCGGGGGGTCGTAGAGGGGGGCCCTGAGATCCTGGCGCTGTGTATTTTTGTTTGCACACTGGGCGTTTTTTCGCTTGCTGTCGGGCCCCGGGGCCCTCACAGATCGACCCGGCCCGAAAGCTGATGCAGATGGCGCAGAAAAAATGGGGTCTGGGGGCTCCGGGCGCGATTTTTCACGGTGTTGCAGCTTTCTCGCTACGTCGGATCTCGGGGAGGTTCTCCCAAGGTGGGCTCAAGGCGAACGCACGTGAAACGCGCTCACTCCAATGTTGAAAAAAACCATGTTTCTTTATAACATAAATTGAAAGACTCCGAAACCATAGGTTGTGAATTCTCCGAAAAGACCCATGCGACACCGACAGTTTTTGAAGGATCCCGGCATGCGCGCGCGACGACGCGCGCGCGTGGATTTCGCCACATTTGTTGCAAAAGGTTCTTGCGACAGCACGTGCGCAAGGGCGTTCGAGCGATCTCGATTTGAGCGCGCGAGAGGCCCGTTTGGCATTTGTCGTGCAAGTGTTGAACATCCCTTGGTTTCCTTAAGATTTCGCAAGACCGCGGGCGCATACTTTTTGTTGAATGCCTTCGTTGCGAGAACATTTGTTATAATATGTGTTCGGGGCGCTCGATTGCGAACTCTTTGCGGAACTTTAGGTTTCTGAGGCATTTCGGCATGCGCACCCGCCGACGCACGCGCGTGCACTTCGTCCCGCTTCTTTCAACGGGTTTTTGGGAACTGCTCATTTGTTATGAACGAGTGCGCGCGCATCGCTTGTTCTGTGCACTGGAGGAGGGGTTCGATCTCCGGCCTGCCTGGGATGGTCTGATTTCAAATTTTAGGATGGACGATGGGGCAGCACCATATGTAAATTGCATGCCACCAGGGGGTAGTGGTAAATCCGGGCTCGTTGGCTGGTGCACCTCTGCGTCCGCGCTAGCCTGCGCGTGCTCGCGCGCGCAGCGGCCAGCTAGTTCGGCGCGGCCGCCGCGGCCGCGGTGGCGCTGACCTCTGGGCGCTTCCCAGCGGGCACTTCATTGCGATGTCGGCCACTTGGACGGGCGCGGTATCATGGCAACGTCGACAACGGTTGACTCGACGATGAGATTTGCGGTGGTGGCGACGATGATGACAACGGCGACGGCGCGGCCAGCGATGGTGCAGATGCTGATGACGTGGACGACGACGACGATGTCCTCGCGCCGGCGACGACGGTGATTGAAGGGGCTCGACATGAGCGCGCGGCCGACGCGCGAAAGTGGCCCGCGTAATATTACTTGGCGGATCGCGCCCCCCCCCCCCCCCCCCAGCAAGCGCGCAAGGGCGTCGAATGATGTCGATGTGCGGCGTGATAGGTCCGCTTGGCAGAGCCGAATGAAAAGTGAGGAAAGCTCATGGATTTCTTGAATTCGCAAGGGCGCGAGCACAGCTTATTCATCGAGAACTGACGTTGCAAAATCATGTGGTTTTAAATCGATCGGGGCACTCGATTTTTAAATCCTTGCGACGCCCCAGGTTGTCGAAGAATTCCAGCACGCGCGCGCGACGACGCGCGCGCGCTTCGCTCCGGTTTCTGCCGGGGGTTCTTGCGACAGCGCGCTCACGAGGGCGGTCAAACGATTTCGACGCGCGCGCGAGAGGCCCATTCGGTAGCTTTTTTTGGACATATTGGAAATCTAGATGGATTCCTCGAGCACTCGCAAGGGCGCGCTCGCAGGCTGTTTTTGGCAGCCATTGTTGCGAAACCGATTGTTTCAACGCGTTTTCGTGGCACTCGATTTCAAGTCCTTGCGAGACCTGAGGTGCATGAGGGATTTCGGCGCGCGAGCGCGACGAATTGCGCGCGCGCCCTGTCGTTTTTTGCATAAGCGATTGAGAGGCGAGCGCGCGCGCGCATAGCAATTTTTTTGCCATCTATGTGGGGGGTGTGCACTCCGGTCTGCATGGGATGGCATGGTTTCATAGTTCGGCCGGGCGTTGGGGCAGTGATATGTCCGGTCTCTGGAGGGCGGTGGAGCCTCATGCTTTTGTAGGAAGGAACATTGTTTTTGCACAGCCGGATAGACAAATTCCATGTTCTTGCAGACATCCCACCACCCGCCTGCAACGTGCTTTGCAAAACCCATGCGGCCGCGATTGCGACGCGTGCTTGGCGTTGGCTGGTGCATCTGCGCGGCCGCGGTAGCCCGCGCATGCTTGCGCGCGCACCAGCTGGCTAGTTCGGCGCGACCGACGCGGGCGCGGTCGCGCTGGCCGCTGGGCATTTCCCAGCGGACATTTTTTCGTGCGAGTCGGTGACGCGATGGCAACACCGACGGCGGTAGTCGCGATGATGAGTAGCGGCGACGGTGGCGATGGTGGCGGTGACGACGACAAGGCCGATGACGGCGCCGATGTTGATCACGCCCGCCGATGATGATGACGACGTCCTCTCCCCGGCGATGAAGGTTATGGAAAGTTCGACGCGCGCGCGGCCGACGCGCGCGAGTGGCCCGCGATGCACTTGTCGACGCGGACCGCGCCCTCCCCTTGCAGCGAACGCGCGAGGGCGTTCGAGTGATTTCGACATGCGGCGCGAGAGGCTTTTCTGGCAGAGTTTGATGAGCACGTTGGACACCCCATGGTTTCCCTTAAGATCCGCGCGACCGCGAGCGCGCAATTAGTCTGCGCAGCTGACGTTGGAAAGCAATGTGTTTTGATGTGTTGTCGGGGCATTTGTTTTGCGCCAGCCTTGCAACATTTGTTCTATGGTTTTTAAAAAATTTTGGCGCGCGCGCGACGACGCGCGCGCGAGTACTTCGCGCCGTCTTTTTTGCGGTGGATTCTCGCGACAACGCGCGCGCGAGGGCGTTGGTTGGAGCGATTCCGACAAGCGCGCGAGCGGCCCGTTTCGCAGTAAGTTCTGAAAATCCTCAAAGACCGATGCGTTTCTTGAGCATTCGCAGGAGCCCGGGCGCAACAATTCTCTAACGTGGGGAATTCTTGTTGCGGAACCATGATATCCGTTTAAATTTTCTCGGGGCGCTCGTTTCTGAAATCCGCGCGCAACCTGGGGTTGTTGAGCGACGCGCGGGCGTGCGCTGCGCCCCGCTTGTTGCAGGGGATTCTGTGGAACTCATGACTGTTGACGCGCGAACGCGCGCGCGCGAGGGCGGGGGCGGGCGGCGGTGGGGGGGTGGGGGGGCGAGGCCAACCTTGCCTGGGACGACGAGGCTTCATATGAAGGATGGGCGATGGGGCAGAAGCACACGCGCTCTGCAATGCGAAAGCGTGGCCCGTTGGGGGGGGGCGGTGGGTCTGGATATTCTTGCAGAGTGAACAAGTCGCCTTGCCGAATTTGAACTCGGCAACTCCACAGCTCGCGCAATCGCCCCACCCGCCCACCCGCAACTTGGTTTGCAACGCCCGCGCGGTGGCGGTTTCGATTGTTGCTCGGCGCTGGCCGGCGCATCGCCGCGGCCGCGCTAGCGCGCGTTCTCGCGCGCAAAGCGGCCAGCGAGTTTGGCGCGGCCGACGCGTCTGCGGTGGCGCTGATCGTTGGGCACTTCGCAGCGGGCACTTCAGTGCGAGTTGGCGCATTGGGCGGGCGCGGTATCATGGCAACGTCGACGACGGTAGACGCAATGGTAATGTTTGCGACGCTGGTGACGACGATGACCACGACGATGGCACGGCCAGTGATTGCGCCGATGTTGCGCCGACGACGATGACTGCATCCTCGCATCGGAGATGAACGTTTGGAAAGTGTTCGACATTCGTGCGCGGCCGAAGTGAGAAAGTGGCCCGCGTGGTATTATTTGGCACCGACCCCCCCCCAGGACGCGCGCAAGGGCGCCCGACTGATCTCGACGTGCGGCGCGAGATGCCCGTTGTGCAGAGCCTAACCATACAGTTGAATCATTCATGTTTTTTCTCAAAGAATTCGTAAGATCGCGGGCGCATGCCTTGTTAGACAATTAATGGTACGACACCATATCCATGTATATATGTTTATGTGTGTGTGCGCACACATATATGTATATATCTATATATACAATTACATACATATATACATACATACATACATACATACACACATGTTGTAGTGGCCTCCGGCCAGTGCCGCCGATCCGGGGCGCTCTGGATGATGATGATGATGATGATGATGATGATGTTGATGCTGATGCTGATGCAGATGCTGATGTGACTATGGTGATGGTGATGGTGGTGGTGATGGTGATGGTGATGATCCCGGCCCCCCCCCCCTTCTCTCTCCTGTCCCCCCCCCCTGTTCCCCCCCCCCTCTCTCGTTCCCCCCCGCTACTCTCTCACAATTCCCCCCCTCCTCCCCCTCTCTCCTGTCCCCCCCCCCCCTCGCCCGCCCCCCCTTCTCTCCTGTCCCGCCCCCTCTCTCCTGTCCCCTCCCCCTGTCTCCTGTCCTCTCCCCCCCCCCCCTCTCTCCTTTCCCCCACCCCCCTCTCTCCTGTCCCCCCCCCCCTCTCTCCTGTACAATTATTCAATATGAATGCTACTCTCCCCCTTCCCCTGATGACGGGTTGGGAGTGTTCGCCCCCGCCCCGCGTACTTTTTTTTTTTTTTTACACACAGGGTTCCCCGGAGTTTGGTTTTCGCTTGCACTTTTTCCAAAATGCTGCTGTCGCTGAGGCGCCGGCCTCATTTTCGGGCCCCGCTCGTTCCGAATCGTGCTCCCGCTGCAGCGCAGACCTCATTTCCGTGCTTCCGCTCGTTCCGAATCGTGCTCCCGCTGCAGCGCTGGCCTCATTTCCGCGTTTCCGCTCGTTCCGAATCGTGCTCCCGCTGCAGCGCTGGCGTCATTTCCCGCGCCATGCCACGGCATGCAATGCAATGTAGATTGCGTTCTGCTGCGCGATGCCATGCCTTCAGCTGAAGCTGTGATATGCAGTGCTTACGTGTCACGTCGTGCTATGCCATGCTACGCTTTGATCATCAACGCCATGCTATGCAATTTTATGTTCGGGACCGCTGTGCGATGCCATGCTTTGCGTTGCAAAGCTTTGTGATGCAATTCTTCACTACGCCACGCCACGCCATGCTGTGACATACTACGCTTTTCGGTGCTCTTCTACGCCATGCCATGCCGTGCTGTACAATGCATCGCGTACCCTTTCGGGATCATTGCCCTGCTCGACATCCGATTGTGCGAGTAGAGAGGGGATCTACGCCATGGTAAGGGCTGGGAGGGAGGGGTAGGATGTCAGATATGACGCGAGCGCACCTAGCTTGCCCCCCCCCCCTCTCCCCCCCTTCTCTCCTGTCCCTCCCCCCCTCTCTCCTGTCTCCTGGGGGCTGGCAGGGGGGGGGAGGTGCCGAGCACTGAATTCGTCAGTTAATTACGTCCCTCCCCCTCCCCCCCTCCCAAGCAGAGCTAAAGCTCATGCTGAAGCAGAGCTTCAGCTTAGACTTCTTAAACTCACACGCCGGATCGGCAGATTTTTGTTGGGGACACTCGATTTTGAAATCCTTGCGACGCCTGAGGTTCTTGACGGAGGCGAGCGACGACGCGCGCGCGCGTGCACCTCTCCCTGTTTCTTGCAAGGGGCTCTTGCGACTGCACGCGCGCAACAACGCGGTTTGGCGATTCCGGCATGCGCGTGCGACCGGCCCGTGTGTTAGCAAGTTCTGAAATTTTGAATGGCCGATGGTTTTTATTAAGCATTCGGAAGAGTTCGAGCGCAAATTGTGTGTTGAACACTCATGTTGGGAAACAGTGTTTTCCCCCCTCCCCCATACTTTCGGGACGCTCGATTTTGAAATCTGCGCAGCACCTATTTGTTTTGAATGATTCCATTGGCTGCAAAGGAATCTTGGCTGCAAAGGAATCTTGAAAACTCGTGAGTTTTGACGTTCGGGTGCGTGCGCGTATTATTTTTTCGCAGAAGATGAGGGGCATGGTGTGGGTTCGTTAGTCGGATGGACGATGGAACATAGTCGGATGCAAATTGCAATGCGCGAAGGGCACCCGTTAAGTCCGGGGGGGGGCGGAGGTCTTTTTATTTTTTGAGTAAGGGGAGTCTTTGCGAGGCGGCGACTGGGCGGCGACGGCGACGACGGGGCGGCGACGGCGAGCACGGAGCCGCCAGACCGCCACCCAGGCCCCCCTGACGACGGGCGGCGACGAGGCGGCGACGGGGCGGCGACAGCGCGTACGGAACTGCCAGAATGCCACCCAGGCCCAGACGAGGGCGGCGACGAGGCGGCGACGGGGCGGCGACGGCGAGTCTGGAACCACCAGGCCGCCACCCAGGCCCAATTCCTTCAACCAGAAGTAAAGAGCCGTAAGTGCCAGCACTGTTTGGGACATGTCTGAGGTAGCGTTGATTCGCGAGAGTTTTACGCATTCCCCTGCTTGCGGTATGTTTGAAAGTTTCCTTTGTTGCGTGCTGGAACTGCGGGCGTGCCCTCCATACGGTTGGCCCTGGAAAGGTAGTGTGCGATGTGGCGCCGCCCGCCCTCTCACTGCACGCTAAGCCCTGGGGATGCCGTAGCCGAAGAAGCCGTGGCACGAGGATGTAGACGACTCGCATAGTAAGGATTATCGACTTCCCTGGGGGTACGGTACCCTTGCATCCTTGCCTTTTGGGCCATCTTCGGTCCATCCTCAATCACTTTCGATGGCCAACCCCGCTCGAAGAGCCTCGGCATGGGCGTCCAAGGCTCTTGCATCCTTACCGCGCGTCCTTGCTATACGGGTTTGAGCTGAAGCGCGCACAGAAGGGGCCCTCGCGGGGAGATCGCCTCACAGAGGCACCGTGCTGCTCGGAGATGGATGGTCGCACGCCACCTTTCCAGCGTCAGCCGTCTACGTGTAGCTGGCCCAGCAGCTCCCACCGCGGACCCTCCGCGTCCCGAGTGGCTCTCGCGGCACCGGAGGAAGTGAGCCCGCGGCCGGTGCGGCGGTTTAGTTATTTCGAGGCCGAGATGGCCGCGACCTTGGCACCCCTCGGACGGGCGTGTGGGGATGCATCCTGCCCGGCCCTCATCGCCACCACCATCATCATCACCATCACCGCCTTCATCATCTCCAGCATCATGTCATCATCTAATCCTCGGCAAGAGGAATGATAAGAATACTCGGAACTTCAATTTGCGCTCGACCTGGTCAAATGCGGAGTGTTGTTCCACATCGAGGGCTGGCCGAGCCGGCTTGCAGCTCACTTCCAGCCAAAGAACATTTGCACAACAGTGTGCGTGATACGCGCGGTGCTCCTCGTTTATCGAGGGATCGTGCCGCCCCCGTGTCACGCCTGTCTGGCCCACGATCGCCAATTGCCCCAAAGCGGCCAGAACCTCGCTGTCGTGGCGACAATCACCACCATCCTTGAACCACGCGCAGAGGGGGGAAGGGGGTGGGGGAAGGCTTCTTTGAAACACCCCTGCTTCTTAGAAGAGGCGGACCTTGACTATAGATGTAAGGCCGACGCCGTCCAAGAAAAGATCTTTCTCTAAGAAGCTTCCCCCCTCCCTCTACCAACTTGTGCGCGCTGCCAAACCATCCTTCCCCGCCCTCATCCTCTTCCGCCGCCTCGCATCTTCGCGCCGCACTGCCGCCCGAGGTCCTGGGGAGCATCTCCTCGTGGATCTACCGCGAGAAGCCGCTGGCAGTCTACAGGAGACCCCCAGCGACGCCGTTCGAGGGGAGGAAGAGCGGGGGGATTCGTGAGAAGGGCGGCTCGCATATAAGTCCGGGCCGAAACGCCGAAGAGGCAAAGCGCCAGCCGTCCAACCCGATGGCCGGAGATCGGGACGGGTGTTTTTGCAATTGCTTGTCACACTTTGCTTGTCGTCTGCCCCGAAGAGCCACACGCTGGAGCGGACTGCCTCTGCTTCGCCGCCGACGAGACAAGCTTGTGAAATTGCATTCAGTTCGGTGGATTAGCGTCGCTTGCAGCACGCCGCCGGCAAAAGCGGGAGGGGGGCGGGGGAGAAGGGCAATCAGGCGGGGGGAGGAGAGGCGGCGAGGGGAGCGAGGCCCGCCCGCCTCCTTCTCCTTCCCCATCCCCCTTTTGCCCTCCTCTCCGCTCCCATTTCGTCCACCCACTCCCCTCATCCTCCTCCTCCTCCTCCTCGTCCTCCTGAGGAGGAGGAGGAGGAAGAGGAGGAGGAGGAGGAGAGGAGGAAGAGGAGGAAGAGGAGGAGTTGGAGGAGGAGGAGGAGAGGAGGAAGAGGAGGAAGAGGAGGAGGGTGAGCCCTCAGGTGATGTCTCAACTTTTTTTTCGGGCTGTTGGATCTCAGGGCCGAGCGCAGGGATCCGAGTTGAGGAGAGGAGTGATCAGGGAGCCTCCTGGCTCTCTCTCGCCCTCTCTCTGTCTCTCCGTCCCTTTTGCCCAGTTGTCGTTCAGTCGGGCATGTCCCTCTACAGGAGGAGTTCGAAAATAGTTCAACATAACTAGTATGGGGGCGATTCTTAGTCGATTTGTCGACTACTTTTGAACTTGTTGCTTCCTTCCAAGATCCGCCTGTAGGAAGCCGTGTCCGACCTAAGCCCTGCACGGCGCCGCCCTGGAGCGCCACGGCGCCGCCCGGCCCGGCGGAGATGGCGACTGGCCCGCCGCTGGCGCGCCAGGGCGGCGGTGCACACGGCGACTCGCAGGCCGGGCCGCCCGTCAGGTTGACCTCCATCTGGCCCCCATCATCCTCGCCATCTCGTCCCCTATCATCCTCAGCATCCTCTTCCTCATCATCATCACCATCATCACCAGCAGCAGCAACAGCAGCATCACCATCATCACTAACATCATCAGCATCATCATCATCACCATCATCATCATCACCATCATCATCATCAACCTCATCAACCTCATCAGCATCACTAGCAGCATCACGATCAATATCATCATCACCATCATCACATACTCATCATCATCAGCATCATTGTCATGATCCTCACCACCATCGCCATTATCATCATCAGCATCAGCATCATCGTCATCGTCATCGTCACCTTCATAATCAGCACCAGCATCGTGATCATCACCATCATCATCGTCCTCATCAGCAGCAGCTGCATACTCATCATCATAAGCAGCATCATCATCAGCATCACCATCGTCATCGTCATCATCATCGTCATCGTCATCATTATCAGCATCATCATCGTCAGCATCATCATCATCATCATCATTAACATCACCATCATCATCAGCATCATCTGCATAATCGCCATCGCCATTACCATCGCCATCAGCATCAACATCAGAACCATCATCACCATCATCAGCAGCAGCAGCAGCATCATTGCCGTCTACATGTTCATCATCATTCTCATCATCATGCTTCCGTCACATTCAAACCTTGCCCGAGGAACTACGGGCAGGAGAGACGCTGTTGCCGCCAGTCTAGGGGCTTGTGAGCACCTAGGACCAAAACGGCTATGCTGAGAGGAGGTCCACGAGCGCTGTGCCGGCTCCGACTGCGCCCAGTCGTGGCTGTGTGTGTGTGGGACCGCACGAGCGGCGAACATGTCCCTATCCGCACCCTCGTGGTCTGGATTCTGGGGCGCGATCCAGCGGAAGCGCGGACGCATTTCCACGCGGGGCATCCCTGCAAAGACGCTCTTCACCCGAGGGGTCCAGGCGCCCAGGGGCCCGGCCCACGAGGCCGCGGAGACGCATATGCTTTTCGCCCGCGGAGGGGCCAGAGGCTGGGAAGAGAGTCCCAGACCCGTTTGTGTTCGCTGCCGTTTTCACGGAACTGTTTCTGGAATATGAGAATCGTTTTTTTTTGGGGGCAAAAAAGAGTTCCCCGAAACGAAGGGGAAAAGGGAAAGAGCGCCAGTGGATGACCCTCTACCTGAAAAGGGCGGGTGTGCTCGCACAACCTCCCCCCTTTCAAGGGGAGGGAATTTAGGACTCCCCTCCCCCTCCCCTTTGAAGGGGGGGGGATGCGGGCCCCCCCCCTGGCGCCGGAGAAGGCTCGGGGGACAGCTCTCTTGTGTGTTAGGCCAGGGGGTCGTGAACGGCAGATTTTCATCGCAACAGGATGAGATCGGGGGTGTGCAGAAAAACACATTCGTGGCATAGGGTCGTGAAGGTTGAACACTTTAGAAGGCGATGCTGAGATCAGCCGATTTGCACAGCATAGTGTTTTTGACGAGTATCGTGAGCGGCGCAGGTATCCATCGTGAAAGGTCGGATCGGGGGCGAGCAGAACAGCATAAAAATACAAAGCGTCGTGAACGTTGAGGGCTTGAGAAGGCGAGGTTGAGATCAGCAATTGGGCACCGCAACGTATTCGTTTGCAGAGGATCGTGAGCGGCATAGATTTCCATCGTGAGAGGTTAAGATCGGGGATGTGGAGAAAGACTTCGACGACGACGACGATGACGACGACGACATCGCCGACGACTACGGCCAGAGAGTTGACGTATACTTCTTTGACGTCGCCTGACTGGCATCGTGACAAACTTGTCTGTTTGTACGTCTGCGGCCTTGCTTGATTCTTTCGATCCTGACCATGCGCGCCGCGTCACCATAATTGCACACCGACTTCCGCCAAACGCCGCCGTGTTGTTGGGAGATGCTATATAGGGTCTATAAACTTACTGGGCCATCTGGGCCGTCATGGGGCCAACATGGGTCATTCCCGGGCCATCACAGGACGCCTTGGTTTTGGGATCGCCGACGTCGTCGCGTCGTCGACGCCCAAGACGTCGACGACGACGACGACGCCGACGTGCTACCCTACCCGCCCATGGTGATGGTGATGATGGTGATGACGATGATAACGATAATGATGCTGACGCTGATGCTGATGCTGATGCTGATGCTGATGCTGATGATGATGATGCTGATGATGATGATGATGATGATGATGATGATGATGATGATGATGATGATGATGATGATGATGATGATGATGATGATGCAAATGAGGAGGAGGAGGAGGAGGAGGAGGAGAAGGAGGTGGAGGAGGAGGAGGAGGAGGAGGAGGAGGATGTCGTCGACATCGAAGCCGTCGACGACGACCGCGGCGACGACGTCGATGTGCACTTCCCCTCCCGCCATGATCACGGTGGCGATGCAGATCCACAATCAGCTGGCATAGCAACGCGTGGGAAGCAGCCGAAGCACCCACCCAGAGCGGCCAGGCCCGCGGCCCAGGGCGGCGGGACCCGTGGAACGCCCCCCCCCAGGAACAAGAAAGAACCATATTTGTAAACATAATCGGTTATGTTTGGGAGGCGGCCCAGGGCCCCGCGCAGGGCGGCATAGAACCGTGAACGGTTTAGACGCTATCTGGAGGTTTAGATCGGGAGGCGGGGGGGGAGGGGAACACCATGCAATTCGCATGCGGTGGCGATGGTTGACGGCATGATGCGAAGATCAAAACAGGTACACCGCTGGCAATTGTTACAAACCCGCTTGCGTCGGGTTCTCGGCTTGAGAAGGGCATTGCGGTCGCGACCTCCTCCTCCTCCTCCTCCTCCTCCTCCTCCTCCTCCTCCCGCCCCCCCATCCCCCAGTTCCCTCCTGCCTGTCTGCTGCCCTGCCTCATACCTCGCCGTCCTGCTTGTGGGGTTCGCTGGGAGGCTGCGAGCAGCGAGACTGCCGCCGCGTTCGAGGGCTGCTGGTGGGTCCAGCCGAGGGGCGCCTTGATCAGACCAGGAGTGCACCTCGCCGCCCCTGGGGGCGGCGAGCGGTGAAACTGTCGACACGTTCGAGGGCTGTTGGAAAGGAGTCCTGCGGAGTTACGATGCACGCTGATTCAGATTCGGCTTCGCCATCCTTTGGGGGTTGCGAGCTGCGCAACCTGTCGCTGCGTTCCAGGGGTGCTGGGGGGGTCCGGCGGGGTGACTGACGCCTGAATTAAATTCAGATTCGATTTCGCCGTCCCTGGGGGGGCGGGGCTGCGAAATTCCAAGGTGTCGCCAATTTCGAGGGCTGCTGGGGGGTTCTTTGGAGCGAGGCCTTACGCAAACGTAGATTCGACATCGCCATCCCTGGGGGTTGCGAACTGCAGAAGTGTCGCCATTTTCGATGGCTGCTGGGAGGTCCAGTGGAACTCGCCTCACGCCGACCTAAATTGGGTTTCGCCGTCCGCGGGAGGGGGTCTGCGACCAGCGAAGCCGTCGCCACTTTCGAGGGCCGCCCGGGGGTCCAGCGGAGTGACGTTTTACGAAAGCGCAGGTTCGACCTCGCCATCCCTGGGCGTCTGTGAACAGCAAGCCTGTCGACGCATTCGCCGCGCTCAAGGGCCGTCGGGGGGTCAGCGGAGTTGACGCCTGACGCAGGTTCATACTCGACCTCGCCATCCCAGGGCGGCTGCGAGCTCCGAAACTGTCGACGCGTTCGAGGGCTGCTCGGGGGCACAGCGGAGTGACGTCTTACGAAGAATTATATTACCTCGCCAGCCCTGGGTTGCTGCGAGCTGCGAAACTGTCGCCACGTTCAAGGGTTGTTGGGGGTTTCTGCGGAGTGACATCGCGTGCAGCTCCCAACTCGACCCCGGCATCCCTTGGGGCTTCGAGGGCTGCTGGGGGCTCCAGCGGAGTGATGTCTAACGCAGATTTGCATATTTAGATTCGACCTCGCCACCCCCCGGGGGGCTGCACACTGCGAAGTTGCCGCCACTTTCGATGGCTGTTGCGGGTCCAGCGGGGTGACGTCTTAC